TTAAAGATATGTACTTGTAGACTTGCAGACTTGCTTTGGGTGAAACCACAGACTTGAAATTGAAAAATTAAGCCCAGAGTGCTATGTACTCATGAGCTAATGGGGATTTGTAGCAGAGTTTGTCAAGACTGGGGTGGGGGTTCGTTTGGTGCTTGTAATTGTGTGCTTGCCGGCCTCTGCGCTCCCCTGCTGGGTAGACTGTGCGTCCTGTGTGCATGGGACATATGTGGGTGGGAGGGGGGGGGGCGGCAGTCGGCACTCGTGGGTGTGCTTGCCAGACCCCTTACTCCCCTGACCTGTGGACTGTGTGTCCGGAGACCAGGAGCGACCCAGCAGGAAGGCATGGGTGGGAGGGGGAGGGGAGAAGGGTTCCCCTGACAGGTGGACTGTGTTCCCAGAGGCAAGTATTGACCCGGAAGGCAGCGTTTGGGGGGGTTGGTGTTTGGCGCTGGTGTGCACCTGCCAACCTCCCTGCACCCCTGATGGGTGGACTGCGTGACCGGGTTAAGGAGGTATGTGCTGGGTACTCACGTGACCGGAGGTGAACGCGGCCTGGAAGTGACGGTGGCGACGGGCTGGCGGAAGCTTGGAACCGTCCGAATTACTCGTGGTCCTAGTGTAGGACCTGACTGCGGCTGGCTGAGTGCTGTGGGGTAGGGGGATACTCCGGTCGTCGTCGGGATGCTGCTGCCTGAGTGCAATAGGAGTTCCTTGTTTGCTTTAGAGGTTGCTGCTGGACTGGAACCGGAAGTGGGAGTCTGGATCAATCTCGGCCCTGATTTAGAGGTAGGTCTGGGTATAAATAGGCCGGTTAACCCTTCCCACAACTACAGGCTCCGCCTTAATAAATATATATATATATATATATATATATATATACACACACACACACACACATATTTTTTAATTTTGTTTTTAATTTTAACTTAATTATAGATTTATTTATTTTTATATATTTATATATAACTATCATTCTACGTGTATTTTGATATTACTATATATATATTAATATCAAAATACACGTAGAATGATATTAAATATATATTAAATAAATCAGATAAAATAATACAAAAAAAAAAAAAAAGACTGTGTGTATATATATGTAGCCAGTGAGCAGATAAGTACATAGGACGGCGTGGACGTGCTATGCCACCCGCCAGCGTTTAGATCTGGGTCTCTTGATCCATCTCCTGATCACCTATTGGAGGCTTACACGGAGTTGCTTGAATCATGCTGAGCGCACCATGTGGGGGAGAGTCTGGAACACCTCCCCTGCGAGTCTGCCAGAACCAATGGCAATTGTTTGCCTGTGATGATGTCTCTCGGCACGGGGGTTAATTAGAAGGTAATTTACTGCACACACCTTCTATATGCTATCCGACTAGGTGATTGGTTGTTCAAGTATGATTACACTGTGGACATTTTGTATAAAATGGGGCTTTTGGCCATTACACTGAGTTCCCCAGACGAAGGTGCACCTAGTATTCACCGAAACGCGCGTTGGGCATTTTTCTCTTTTTATTTTTAAGCATGTTTGATTTATTAGTATGTAATTTTCTTTCATTATTCATTGCTTCTATGCCTATCTAGCTAACTTTACTGGGGGATAGAGGCTTTTTAATTTAATCATTGCCAGTTCAATTTTTGCCTGGCACTAGACTTCTTATCCTCCTCCATATTTCATACCTGGCTAGTACCTATACAACCTACCATATAGGTTATACTCTACTCCGGGATTATTTGTTGTTTTTTTACTGTAACAGACTCTACTTTACTAGGGATCAAGCAGAGTTTATATTTTGTGAGCCAATCTAATAAAGCTAATTTTATCTATTTATTATCACTCTATGAGCTGATACAAATCTGTAGGCATATAGGAGCTTACCTTATTATGTTGTTATTTATTGGCTTTTTGTTGGTGTATCCTACCTACGTCAAGAAAAAAAGTCTAATTTTTCACTGCAGTACTCCTACCATCATTATACTTTACCCATGTGACTACCGTTATATCTAGGTGGTACAGTGATTCTCACCCTGTTGTTTGGTGAGAATCTCTGTCCAATTTTCTTTTCTTGTCTAGTTTATCATAGGGTTAAACCCTGAGAGACCGCTGGAGTGCCAAGTATAACTGGTTTCACCTTGACACTGTTCTTTCTAGTGGCACGGGAGGAACCGTTTAGTTATGCTATACCTTTTGTTTGCAGTGATAATCTGACATACAGCCATAGCAATCTGTACAAGCATTAGTTGGCAGTTCTAGGCAAAGAGTGCTCATGTAACTCTCTCAGCCTATTCCTGCCCAATCACCATTCACGTTAACAAGGAAGAGTTAGTCTAAACGGAAGGGGCAGAGAGGCGACACAGATAGCCAGGAGCCCTAGTTCCCAGTTAAACCATAAGGGTTGGGTCCAGGATACTGAGGCAATCATGACTTCTTCAAAGAGTTAAAGTATTTTTAATGCCTGGAAGTGATACTTTAAACATTCTCAGTAAGTCCACCTGAACCAAATGTCAATTGTTTTTTGTTTCATATGTTGTAAGATTAATTTATTTGGAAGCAGGGTATTTTTATGATCTATTTCAATTAAATATAATTTTTATGTATTTACAGAAACTTGCCCAAAGTGTGAGCACCCACGTGCATATTTCATGCAAATACAGACCAGATCGGCTGATGAACCCATGACTACATTTTACAAGTGTTGTAATGTGCAATGTGGACACAGATGGAGAGATTAATGTTTGTGTATAGTTATAAATCCTAGTGCTCTTTAAGTGTATGAAAATTTAGCTTTATTTTAATTTGCAAATATACCGTCAATATTATCCTGTTTACCACGTTATGACCGTTAGCTGAAATTTGCATATTTTTTTTGTTAGTGTTAGTTGCACACTGTGTTAGTTACACACAAATTGTATTATGAAAATTCATTTGAGTTTTGATTGTAACCTTGGATGAAATATACCTTTAAAATAAAAGCTAGATTCTGGGATGTATATATATGGACTTGGTGTAAGCATTCACAATTGGCATTTTTTTGTTTTACTTGACCAGAAATATCTTATAATCTCTATATATAATTGTTATATTCATATAATTCAGTATTTATTTTTTCAGCTAAACATTTGCTTTAAATCTAGATCTCCCTTTTAAATGTAAACATATAATTGAAAAAACCCCAATAAAAAGCAGTGTCCTATAGTTCTCAGAAGAGGAAAATAGAATTATAATATAAATCAATAGTAAAAAAAAAAGTAAGCTCTTAGCCCTAGAGTCAAAAAGGATCACTGGGAGGAATATGTTTAAAACCGTAACCTTAAATGGATACTATAGTCACCCAGTGGCGGCTCTAGACTTTGAGGCCTTAGGCGAAACTCAAACAAGAGGCCCCCACAAACATTTATAGTAAAAAAAACATATAGGGCTTGCATCGTGTGTATAATGAGCTGTAGTTATATTGAATGACAGGCTTGCAGCGCTGGATACAGAGCGCTAGTCTCTGTATTCACTGTTGGGGTGAGTGTGGCACGGTTGAAAGAGAAAGTGTGACAGGGCGAGGGGAGGTGAGTGACAGGATGAGGGAGGGTTATGTGACAGGATGAGTGTGGCATGTCTAAGCAAGATGAGTGACAGGATAGGAGAAGTTAATGTGATAAGGTGAAGGGGGATGAGTTTGACAGGGTTATGGAGTATGTGTTGCACGGCTGGAGGAGGGAGTGTGACAAGGCAAGGGAAAGTGAGTCGGACAGGATTATGTGACTCAGTGTGGCATGGTTGGGCATGAGTGAAAGGGTTAATGTAAAAAGGATAAGTGTGACAGGGTTGGGGGTGAGTGTGACAGTATGAGAGAAGATGAGTGTGATAGGACTAGGGGGATTAATGTGCTAGGGTGAGTGTGAAAGAGCTAGGGCTGGTAATTGTGGTATGGATGGAGGGGGTGAGAGCGACAAGATTAGGAGAGGTTAATGTGAGTGAGGCTGGGTGAAGGGGGCATTACAGCATGTGGGGAGGTGGCTGTATGTGTGTGGAATTGTGACGGCGGGTAGGTGAGAGTGTGGGAGTCAGTGTTGGAAAGGGTGATAGTGTGTGCAGTAGCAGTGTGTGGGAGGAGTGACTGTATTGGTGACCGTGTTGGGGGCTGATAATATGGGGTGCAAGTGCGTGAAAGGGTAACAGCGTGAGGGAGCAGTGTGGAGGAATGTGACAGTTTAGGGGGCAGGGTGTGAGTGGGTGACGGTGAGGAGGAAGATGACAGTGTGGGGGGCAGTGTGTGTTACAGTGTGGGAGGGGAAGGTGTGTGGGACACAGTGTGTGTGACAGCATGAGGGGGCAGTGTGTATGACAGTGTAGGGGGGCAGGGTGTGGGAGACAGTGTGGGCGGCAATATGTGTGACAGCATGAGGGGGCAGAGTGTGTTAGACAGTGTGGGAGGCAGGTTATGTGGGGGACAGTGTCTGTGGTGGTTAGTGTAGGGGCAGTGTATGTGGGGTACAATGTCTGTGGTGGTTAGTGTGGGGGCAGTGTATGTGGGGTACAATGTCTGTGGTGGTTAGTGTGGGGGTCAGGGTATGTGGTGGTCAGAGTGGGGGAAAGGTATATGGGGGAAGTATATGTGGTGGTCAGTGGGGGAGCAGGGCATGTGGGGGAAGTGTATGTGGTGGTCATCAGTGTGGGGGCAGTTTGTGGGGGGGCAGGGTATGTGGCTGGCAGGGCAATGTGGGTGCACTGTATGTGGTGGGCAGGACAGTGTGGGGGGCAGGGTATGGGACATGCAAGGCAGTGTATGTGGGTGGCGGGGTATATGGGAGGCAGGGCAGTGTGGGTGGGAAGGTATATGGGAGGCAGGTCGGTGTGGGTGGTAGGGCAGTTTTGGTGGCAGGGTATATGTGGGTGGCAGTGCGGGTGGGAGGGTATATGGGAGGCAGGTCGGTGTGGGGGGCAGGGTAGTGTTGGGAAAGGGTGTGGGGGCATGGCAGTGTGGGTGACAGGGTGAGGTGGGGGGCAGGGCAGTGTGGGGGATAGTGTGTGTTGAGGCTGTGACAAGCCTCCACACACTGAAATTCCCTGGTGGTCCAGTGGGATGACTATTCTGTCTGCAGCTCTGCTCCGCGAGAGCTGCAAACCTCGTTCTCACGAGCGCCTGTCAGAGCGTTGCCATGGCAACGCTCTGTAAGCTCGCGAGAACCACAGTACGTAATCTGTAGCTCTGCACTCGGCGGAGCTTCAGATCAGAGGCTGGTTCTCCCTGTGGGCAGACCATGTGGAGGGGCCACCCGGCAGCATACTGGGCAAGCCGCCGGGTCCCCTCTCACTGTCGGGTTCTCAGTCATAGACCGAGGACCTGACAGTTCAGTCTGCCCTAAGGCGATTTTAGGCGGCCGCCTAAATCGCTTATTTAGAGAGCCGCCTCTATAGTCACCAAAACAACTTAAGCTAATGAAGCTGTTGTGGTATATAGATCGTGCTCTGGCAATCTCACTGCTCAATTCTCTGCCGTTTAGAAGTTAAATAACTTTTGTTTCTGTTTATGCAGCCCAAGCCACACCTTCACTGGCTGTGACTGACAGCCTGAATGGAAATTTTTTTTTTCTATTTTCAAACAGATATTAACTTCTGGCATTTTTATCTTCAGCTCTTTAAATTGGACTATAATCACATATAGGAGGCCCATGCAAGGTCTAGCAAGCTATTGACAGCGCATGAGATAGGAAATAATAAATTAAATAGTGTGCAATTAAGGTAAAGTGTAAACATTAGTGTTGGGGAAAATATTATGTATATATCTGTTTAATATGTGCCTGATTAAGTCTGTGTGTATCTTCAAAAGAATTATCTTCAAAGGGAGTTTCTGTTTAGATAGTTGGAAAGCTACAGCACCTGAAAGGCACCAATCACATTTACATATAACTGGTCTTCAAAGGAGTCCCTATCTACCGTGTTTCCCCGAAAATACACCCTACCCCGAAAATAAGACCTAGCTGAATTTTCGGGGTGGGCTGCAATATAAGCCCTACCCCGAAAATAAGACCTAGGCATTGTACCTTTCGGTCCGGCGGGACTTCCTTCTTCTATGAGGAGGAGGAGGAGCGTTGCAGGCCGCGGCATCGCGCAACGTGATGACGACGTGCGCAGCGTCGTCAATCTGCCTTCACGGATCTTCAGCGGAAGGATCCATTTCCGGGCGGTGAGGCACCCAGTGGTCGGACTCGGCGGGCAAGGAAGGCATCTGTGAGTAGATATTTTATGTCTGGGACTGAATTAATTAAAGGGGGCGGTGAATTAATTAAAGGGGGGGCTGGATTAATTAGAGGGGGGTGGATTTATTAAAGGGGGGTTGGATTAATTAAACGGGGGGTGGATTTATTAGAGGGGGTGGATTTATTAAAGGAGGGGTGGATTTATTAGAGGGGGTGGATTAATTAGAGGGGGGTGGATTAATTAAAGGAGGGGTGGATTAATTAAAGGGGGGTGGATTAATTAAAGGAGGGGTGGATTAATTAAAGGAGGGTGGATTAATTAGAGGGGGCTGGATTTATTGGGGGGGGTGGATTTATTGGGGGGGTGGATTAATTAAAGGAGGGTGGATTAATTAAAGGGGGTGGATTAATTAGAGGGGTGGATTAATTAGAGGGGGTGGATTTATTAAAGGGGGGTGGATTAATTAAAGGGGGGGTTCAATGTACATACCGGTACCATAAATAAATAAGCCCTACCCTGAAAATAAGCCCTAGTGTGTTTTTTGGGACTAAAATTAATATAAGACCCGGTCTTATTTTCGGAGAAACACGGTAGGAAAACACACCTTGGGTTAGAGGCAAAGGGATGGCTGGGAGAGTTGACACTTAAATAAAATAACAGGATAGACAACACTTTGGGCCTTGGGAAAGTAAATCACATTTACATATCAATTGAGCTGAGGAATTTGCTATTTACAACATGGGAACCAATTCCTTTAAAAGTAGAAGATACTGACATCACATTAGGTTAGGTTTTGGTAAGACACACAAGCTGCCCATAATATGCACAGCACATACACAATGTAGCCAATATTATACACAATGTAGCAGATAGTATTAGATAGATGGAATGTATGAGTGTTATGAATGTATTGTAACTGTAATACTATAACTCTGTAACATTCTTCTTCTATAATATTTAATTGGGCAGATTCTAAGTAAATATTTCTCTCTGGTAAGAACTATGGTGTTGGCTGTTTATTTGTAATATTGGGTAGAATACCTTAGTAGTGCTAGTCATATATTTATCTGGACAAGGGGATAAAGATATATGTTAGTTCTTGGAAGAGGTTACACAGGGATATTACATTCACTATTAAAACACAACGCAGAGTGGATTTCTCTCAAAAGGATACCAATTGGAAGTATTGGTGGTGAGAGAAGGATTATACAACAATTAGATGCATTGAAAGGAAGTGTTTAGGAAGGCTGTGCAAATTACATGCAGGGGATGTGACTAAGGCTGCACAAATACATGATTTAACTATTAAATGGCAAATAATTTAGCAGTTAGACTGAAGGGGCATGATCTATACATCAAAACTGTTTAAGCTAAAGTTGTCTTGGTGACTATAATGTCCCTTTAAAGTGGATCTGTCACTGTTTAGGTACTTTTTATACTCTTCATACCCCAACTGTTACATTGCCACTGGGAGTCTGTTGGCTGGTGGTGGGTGGACAAAGGTGACTTTTACTTATGTGCTTCGTGGGTGCCGCCATTATCTTTGTTTCGGTCATCTTCTGTTCCTTGCACCTCAGCTGCCAGGTGCTAACATCAATGATGTACTCTTTGCACATGTGAGATTACACCCGAGAGGTCTATGTAGGAGACCTCAGGAAAGTGACAAGGAATGACGGCGTTGGCATCACCCAGGGTCAAGCACTGTCAACAGTAACAAAAATAGTCACTATTTTGTTTCAGTATATCTTTTGACTGGGTTGGAATTTCACAATGCACTTGAGTATTTTATAAAGATTATATCTTTATGAAATACTCATTATCCCAGGGTTGGGTGACAGTGCAGCTTTAATTTCATTAAAATTTAAACACACACACACATGAAGCAGGTAGTGGTAAAATAATTATTATTAGAGACACTCCACTCAATTCAAAAGAGAGAAACAGTGTTAAAGTGCAATGGTAAAAGAGGCCTGGTAACTTTCTAAAGGGAGCCAGTTGCAAAATTCTAATACAATTGTGGTGACTTTGATTACTTTTCACATTTTATCTATCAATATTATAAATATAACCCAATTGTCACTAACCAGTGGGAAATGGATATTAAGTGTCTTAATAAGGTATCACAACTCAACTGTGGTTACTGGCCACTCCACTACAGAGCATACATACAGTGAACTCTGACAGAACAAATATATATAATACTACTTATCTACCAAATGACAGATAAGTAGATATGAGTACAATGTAGATAGCTTCCCTAGAGGCCTTTCCCACCGCGCCTCTGCACTATCGACTGTATAAGCAAGAAATAGGGATACAGCTAGGTGCTAGAATAAAAAAAACAAACAGCACATAGTGATGTACAGTATATACAACTAACTCACAATATAGAAATCTGGTAAACGCCTGGAAATCCACAATTGGATTGCACTGGTCCGCCTTCCACCGTGCGGGATAGTAGTAAATCAGCAGACCCAGGAACTTCAAGATGCAGAGTCAGATCAACTTGCAAAAAATTTATATTGTAACGGATTACCTGGCACCCCGACTGGGTACCTATGTTGATGGATGCTGCTAGCGCTTCTTGAGGATTCCAAGCACTCACCACAACCACCACAGGCCAAACCTCTCTTCCTTCAGAGCGAAGCAGGAACGAGCTCTTAAAAAGAGCTTAGGAGTGATTATAGCAAGGGACTATGCTGAGCATAGCAATCCCTTGTAGCAGTTTCCCCCAATAAGCGACAGGACTCAGATTGAGGGTGAAGTAGAACTGACTGTACTGGCACATACAGCCTCTTTTATTCACAATCCACAAACATAGTACTGCCCACAGGGTTTTGAAATACAACCAAATAATCTGTACAATACACACAGACACTCCCACACAAAATCCTCCCCTCTGCCTGTGAAATAATTACTGAACACAATGGTTAATATAATTATAACAGGCAGAGAAATACAGTATTATAAAACATATCACAGGGACCCCAAAACATGCAATAACCCCATAAATATCTTCGGAACTGGGGGATCTGGGTGAACCACATGGCCAAAATTCGCCCCGATCCGTTCAGTAGTTTGGAAGATACCGTTTAATGCAGATTCCGCAGAACATATACAGGCTATATGAAAAATAATTACTGTATGTGTCCCCTGTTGTATAGTTTAAAACTACTGCACGATGTCTTTGTGCACCAAATACAGGCGAGATGACACCGTGTAGAAAAGTCCAAACAGTGTCTGTGAGTTAAAATGGCCGCCATCCATTGTTCTCACCATGTGCCTCTGATACATGAAATGGTGGCCACCCAGTAACTCCACAGTTTGTCTGGTAGTCTATCCAGCCGGACCAACAGATGAAACACATGGAGAACAGTGCAACAAACGAATGGAATCATAAAAAATATGGACAATAGTCATTTGTGCACAATCTCCAGTTTTGTCACAGGGCACAAATAGTGTTTTCAAATGCCATATATCCCAGGGCCATAGTCAGAAGGTTGGAGGCAGGCAAGCAGCCCCCTCCAAGAACACGTGGCGAGGTCTGTTCCGCCACATATATTTATTAAGGCCAATTGTCTGATAAAAATATTTTGTATAAAAGATATAAATAAAATCTAACGCGTTTCGTCCAACGCAGTGAACTTCATCAGAGATAAAAATGAAAATAAAAAGCAACTGAACAGCAATACAAAACTGAACAGCAGTACAAAATCATAAGCATATTACCACCTCACATAGTCTTATCCAGTCTGCTTGATTGAAGGGTGACTCAGGTGTGATCAGGATTCCAGTTGCTTCTATTGGAAGACTGGGAGACCAATATTTCCAATAGGTCCTCAAAGTGGACAATCGATGATATAAATTTTCGTGTGTTTTCAAAAATAGTCCTGCTTGCGCTCCACCGGACCGTGTATGCATTCCATGCATCACTTCCGCTTCTGAATAGAGCGTCCTGAATGCTATATGCGTTCCATATTGATAAACTTATGCGTTCCACACATCAATCAAGTATTCAAAAGGGGTTACATAGCGGACATAAAATCTTGGAATGAAAAAGATGTATGTTAAATACCCATTAGAGAAACCGTAATCTAAACCCATCAAAGGGAAATTGCATATTTCACCTTAAAGTGTTTTAAAAAAAAAGAACTGAAAAATGAATGGATGAATACATGAATGAAAAAATACAAAACAAAGAAAATGAAAAAAAGTAAAAAGAATATATAAAAAATATTATAATGTAAAAAATAAATATCAATAAAAATAAAATTATTTTATTATTGATATTTTTTTATTTTTTACATTATAATCTTTCATATATTTTTATATTTTTTTTCATAATTGTTTCCATTATTAAAATTATCTTTTTTATTTCAACATAGTTTATATATATATATATATATATTTTTATATATATATATATATTAAATTTTTGTAAATTTTCTTTTTCTATTTTCTGTTTTTTCATCTATTCATTTTTCAGTTTAGTTATCTTTAGTTTTTTTGTTTTTTTACACTTTAAGGTGAAAGATGCAATTTCCCTTTGATGGGTTTAGATTACTGTTTCTCTAATGGGTATATTACATGGCAGCTAACATACATCTTTTTCATTCTAAGATTTTATGTCCGATATGTATCCCCTATTTGAATACTTGATTGATGTGTGGAACTCATACGTTTATCAATATGGAACGCATATAGCGTTCGGGACGCTCTATCGGAAGCGGGAGTGTTGCGTGGAATGCAAGCAGGACAATTTTTGAAGACCGCAAACATTGATATCATCAATTAAAAACAAATGAAGATGCCCACTTTGAGGACCTATTGAAAACATTGGTCTCCCTGTCATCCAATAGAAGCAACTGGAAACCTGATCACACCTGAGTCACCCTTCAATCAAGCAGACTGGATAAGCATATTTAAATGGGACTATGGGGGTGGGTAATATGCTTATGATTTTGTACTGCTGTTCAGTTGATTTTTATTTTCATTTTTATCTCTGATGAAGTCCACTGCGTTGGACGAAATGCATTAGATTATTTTATTTATATCTTTTATACGATATATTTTATCGAGCAATTGTGCCTTAATAAATATACATTTTTGCAAGTTGATCTGACTCTGCATCTTGAAGTTCCTGGGTCTGCTGATTCACTACTATCCCACACGGCGGAAGGCGAACCAGTGCAATCCATTTGTGGATTTCAAGGCGTTTACCAGATTTCTATCCTGTGAGTGCAATCTTACACATTGCGTGTTAGTTGTATATACTGTACATCACTATGTGCTGTTTGTTTTTTATATAGTGAACTCTACCTTTGATTACCGTATGTGGATGGACGAAAGATCTACTCATGTACATCAACTAGTTAAGTGCAAAAAACTAATACCGTTTCCAGACATTAAAGCTAAATTTAACCTAACAAATAGAACGACCTTCTATCTACAACTTAAGTCCCTACTGACCAAATACAACCAACAGGAGCTCACTATGGTCCCCTTATCGAAATTTGAAACTGCATGCCTAGCCTCAACTACACCCAAAAAATCCTTGCCTTCGTATGCAATCTTCTAAACCAACCCAACTCCTGAGATTCTGATAAAGAACGCGGCAAACAGACCTGAAGCGTACATTTGATCAATCCAAATGGCAAGCAATATTCCATACTTACAAAGGCAAAACACAATGCACGTCCCACTTAGGTCTTATGAGGAAAATTTACTTCCGTTAATACATGGTACGGGCACGATCGGTGAAAATCTATCCAGGCACATTGGATATGTGCTGTAGATGCCGTAGGGATTCCGGCATGATGTACCACATATGATGGACATGAACCCATCTCAGATCTCTGGAACATTGTATCTCTCTGAGATACTACACACACACATCATACTCCAGCCAGAAATGGCTCTTTTATTTTTTTAACCTGGATGACTTTCCTGAAAGTGATTCCATCCTAATATACCATGTGTTTATTGCGGTCCTGATACTCCCAGCCAGGGCCTGGAAAGCCACAGACATTATCTCCAAACAAACCCTCTTGCAACAAACAACCTTGGACTATGAAAACATAGCCAGGAAACAATTCAAGTCTCAACACCTAGTGCAACAATGTATAGGTAAACTTGAAACATATATGAACAACATTCCCACAGCGGTGCTGTTGTAGTTAGACAGCACATAAATTGAATCTATTGAAAAGAAAACCACCTCTATTTCATACAGAATAACAGACAACAAAAGGATCAGTGCTAATTAACAGACACATGAACAGGCAGCAACCCAATTAAGGAGATCCCTCACAAACCCTTAAAATAAATAAAGAGAGAGAACAGCAAAAGCAAAAGGGTTGCGCCAGAATGAATACAAATGATAAAAGCGCGTGACAAACATTTTTTTCCCACAAACGTTTGCCACGAACTCCTGGAAGCTGGCCTCCTGCCCACCAACTATGGTCGAGGTCTGAGACACCGTTTGGGAGTTGCCCTGCCCAGTCGCCATTAGTAACTTTCCCTGCGTGCTCCTAGTCCTACATGTGAATGCAACCGAACGCTAGCTCCCTGGCGGACGTTCACATGAAGCAAACCATAAATAGTGCTTAGCAGTACTTAGTTGCGACCGCTATGAAACTACTTTCGGCATGACGGCTTTGTGGGTTCCCAGTCACCTTTAGGGACTTAGCCGTGAATGTTATGAAACTGTTTTCGGTATGAGGTGGCCGTGCTGTTCCCAGACAACTTGGTTCGTGGTTTTGAACCTTTTTAAAAAAAAAAAAAAATCCACCAGAAGAGAGCTTTTTCGAGGGAAGGTGTCTGAGACTAAGGGGAACAACCGCTACCTAAAATCCAGGTGGTACATCCCGTAAGTTGGGCATAGGACCACGTGTGCGGCCGGTCAGAACTTTAACATAGGGGTGTATACCCTACATTGCATGGATCTGTGCACTGTTTGGAGAACTTGGGCGCTCAGATCAGGGCTATTTGGGGATGTATTATTTGTGGGGTTATTGTATATTTTTATGATGTTTTGGGGTATTGTTATGTTATATGTTTACTTCTCTGTTACTGGGAGATAATTAGCTTACCGATCTTTAACGCAATTATCTCCCACGCCCAGAGACTCCTGGGAGGGACTTGTGCTGAATACAATGGAGACTCCCTGCTGGGGTCTGTGCATAAAAGGCAAAGTTTGGCTGATTAAAATCCGTTGTACTCCCAGCACTATGTGTCATCTATTTACTAGGGGAGGGAAGGACTATTCACTACCCGGCACCTTGTTCCAGCTTGTGGCGGATTCAGTCGGGAAACTCCTTGTAAGGAATAGAGCTCCCTGGAAGTGTGTCGTCCAGTCCCTGGGAGGGAATAGAGCTAGTCCCCTATCCTGTTCCAGTCAATGAGGATCCCAGTCAAGCCACGGAGACTGGGGCAGAAGCGCTGAGGTTTTCCCCGGTTCCAGCTAGGAAGCGGTCCTTGACGGAGGTACCCAACTGGGGTACAGGGAGCTCCGCTACTAAGTTTATATAATCCAAGGTTAAATAAATGCCTAAGCAAGCAATATAAAACAATGAGGTAGTCCAAAAAGTATATATAGAAAGTACCCTTAAGGTTGTAGTATGTGCAGATAAGGTGCTGGGTCGAATGGTAAGTGCTAAGTCAAGCAGAGAGTTCTTGTTGAGAAGCTATACTATTGTTTAAAATTTCTTATTGAAGTTCACACAAAAAGACAAACCCACCAATATTGCAGTATGTCACATCAGCCAAAGTGGTTATAGTAAATGTGTTACTCACATTTAGTTGCGCTATAGGCAGCTCTAGCATATAGGGTGTTCAGCGGTATAATCCCCACTTATAGAATGTGGTGTAGAGGTCCTCAATAACAAAAGTGTCAGCAACCCAAAATTAGAAGAATACAGGTACAAAGGATAGTGCTCTCCGTTAAGTAAAATATGTGCTTAAAAGTAGAATACAAATTATACCCACAAAGGTAGAGCAGACCAACTGTCCTATGAATGAGGCACTGGTGGTATATTCCCCACCTAGGATTCTTTGGAGTAAATAGAACGTAATGAAAATATAGTTAAAATGTTTTGTTTTTTTATATCTTTTTTTAAAAAAGATTCCAGGTTGTATATATGGTGTAAACAAAAGATAATTGGCACAGAATGCTTGTAGAGTGACCAAAAAGCCTTTAATTAAAATACAAAGTAATAACATCCATAACGCGTTTCACCAAAAGGCTTTATCAAATGGAAGAAAGAAAAGTACATCCTGGCTAGCTGAGGTATATATAGGTACAACATGATTTACATTTTGGTGTCAAAATGGTTGCATTAATTGGTATCCAATCAGAAAACATCATGTTAATTGACATATATATAGAATAATAATGTATAGTGTAGGGAACTTTAAAATATAAAAATTATACTAAAATGAGTGTATAATAAATATTAGTAGTTAAAGGGACACTATAGTCACCTGAACAACTTCAGCTTAATGAGGTTGTTCAGGTGAGAACTATAGCTCCCTGCAGCCTTTCTCATGTAAACATTGTATTTTTTGAGAAAATACAGTGTTTAAATTGAAAGCTAAGAACACCTCTAGTTGCAGACACTCAGACTGCCACCAGAGGGACTTCCGAGTTGATGGATGCGTAATTTGTATCCATCCACTCAAATCTGCTGTCAGCAGAGCACGGGGCAGCACTGTGCAGAACCATCCTGTCTCCCCTGAGGCTGTCAGCAGCGCGTGGGATTCAGCTCAAGCTGACAGGCAGAAGGCAGGAGGATGCAGAGATCTCCTGACTTCAAACTGTAAGTACACTTATTTTAAAAATTTAGAGTTAATGTGAGAGAGAGAGTGTGGGTGAGTTGGTGACTGAGTGTGGGTGACAGTGTGAGTGACTGAGTGTGGGCGGGTGAGTAAGTGTGGGTTGGTGAGTGAGTGATTCTGATTGTGGGAGGGTGAGAGTGATTGTGAGTGTGGGTGGATGGCTGAGGTCGGGTGACTGAGTGTGGGTTGGTTGGTGCGTGAGTGAGTGATTGTGAGGGTGGGTGGGTGAGTGTGTGTGGGTGACTGAGTGAGTGTGAGAGAGAGATAGATGGAGTGTGTGTGTGTATGTTTAACAATATTTATTTACAGTGTGTGTATGTATACAAAAACTATATATAGAGATCTTTCTATATATAGTGTTTGCATACTTACTTTGGGTTAGGAGGGTTGCCGTAGACTGGGGACGGGCATAGACGGCGAGCTGAGCTGTCAGTCAGCACAGCTTACGAACGCGCATACCGCGCACATGTGCCGTAGAGCGTTCAGTTTTTTCATAGAGCGGCATTCAAAGAGAAGTGTCTGACTGGGCCCTGCGTTTTCGTCATTTTGACGAAAAAGGGGACGTGACCTGGTGGGGAGCTTGGTGCTGGAACGGAGGTTTTAATGATAAAAAGGGCTTGAATTTATTTTTTATTAACTGGAAGCTCATATAAAAGCAAGACAGAAGGCTGGGGGAGCTGTCTTTCTTGCTTTTATATGTTTACTATAGTGATCCTTTTATGCTGGCCGGTCAGGTGTCGTGCGAGGTTGCCGCGTCATCCGTGACTGCCCAAATGCATTTTGGGAATTGAAGTATTAAACAAGTGTATAGTAAATACTAGTAGTTAATACTGGCCCGGTCACGTGTTGCGCGAGGTTATCGCGTCCTCCGTGACTGCATGAATGCATTTTGGGAATAGTATACATAAGATGGCCGCGTTCGTGTGGGCATTCATGAGTACGTCAGCGAAATATAGCCACTTTTGTTAAGATGTGTTTATGAGAATGTCGGCCAAATGTAATAGTATAAGCCGACATTCGGCAGTAAAAAGTGGAATGAAGGGAGTGATTAAAAGTGGTTGGCCGCATGTACATAAAACCCTCGATTAGCTTAGTGAAAGAAGACGGCTTTTTACTCTTGGAACCTGAACTGTTGCACTGTATTAAGGGGGATTTTGGACGAAGCAGCTATATGGTATTCTGTGCAATAAATTTTTTAAGTTAATTGACTGTCTCTGCCATTTTTTACCTCAGAAGGGAGTGATATTTGTAGCTGTCATAGTTAGAGCAGGCTCTTCTGCTCTACTTTTGTGAGTGTGTATTTTATCTATTATATTTTGCTTTTTGTTATATAGATTTACACTATTTGTATTTCTTTTACTCCTTTTTTTATGGTACATGGAGATGACCAGCAGATGCATTTTTAAGTGAGTGCTTTGTGTATTTTTATCACAGTTTTACACATATGTGCACAATATACGTGTTAAGAAATTTTATGCACTATAATGCAAATCACATTTTTGCACATTAAATCACTTGTTGCACTTTAAAATAATTTTGTTTTAAAGACACAGCGAACCTATATAGATTTCTTGTATTTATTGTGTGTCTTTATGAGCTATTACACGGTTTAGGGTGCTGCTTTTTTTCTAATATTTTGTCACGTCCTTTAAATGTAATCAGAGGACAATTATAAGCGCCTTTATATTCACTTGTTCTTTTTTAGTATTATAGGAAGAGTGAGGCAACCATATTGGGAGGGGAAAAATTAAAAATGGGGGGGGGGGAAGAGTAAAAGAATGATAAGAACAATAATGTTGAAAAAGAAAAACAGTCTAAATAAAAAATATACATATATACAGGCACAGAGAATAAATACATAAAACAAAACAAATCTACAAAGAATCAAATGAAATTAAACAAATAGAATTCAACATTAAAACCATTCTAAAATCTTAAGGTTATACACCCATTCCATCTCAGGTCTGCCCAAAATATTTTTTATATTACCCTCTCTCCAAGTGGTTGAGCATGTTTGTATGCCTATGCATTTAAGCACTTTATGGTTATTATCATGTGTCTAGACACTGAGTGGCTCTGGTACCCTTTTTAATGTTTCTACAGTGATCAGCAAGTCTTATTTTAAGGCTTTTTGTGGTCATTCCAACTTATTGGAGGCCACATGGGCACTCCAATAGATAAATTACATTCTTTGTGCTGCAACTAATAAAATCATTAATGGTGTAAGTCGTATTCTTCTGGGTTGTCAGGCAGGTCCCTCAAATTGCAATCAATAAAATTACTTATGTAAAAATATTACATAAATATGCACGTAGAATTTAAATATATATATACATATTTATATATTTAAAGTCTACATGTATATTTATGAAATTATGCAATTATATATATATTTATATATATTGTATTATTTTTATTTTTTTATATATATATATATATATATATATTTGATTTCATTCTAAGTGTATTTTGATATAAATATATAAATACAGTTAGAATAAAATTAAAGAAAACAGCTCCACATAAGTCCATCTCGGGGCTAACGATAGGGGAGATGTGGATGCAGGCACGTGGAGCCTCCAAACCAAACATGGCGGCTCAGCACGGCGGGTGCTCGGACTTCTCCTAACCCACCACGAAAGGCACAACACTGCGGCAAAGGGGCAGACGCAGAGCCGATCACCATAGCGGTCATGAAGGCGTTAATGGCGAACCTGAAACGCAGCCTCCACGACAATGTCACAGCGCTCCACACAGCCTTGAGAGGCCGCATCTCCAAACTGGAGGGCTCCTCACAATCCGTACTGCAACACACGGTACAAGCCCTGGAACAACAGACCCGGCAATGTGAACATCGCCTCGTGGCGCTTGAGGACGCCAGGCGGACTTCCAACATTAAAATCAGGGGAGGCCGAACTGCCTAAACTAATAGAGTGCATGTTACTAGAAGTACTGCCACAAAGACATCATGCAACAATCACCCCAGAAGGGGTCTTCAGAGTCCACAAACCAACAAACGCGCCAAACACGGCCACGAGAGAGGTCACCCTGACCTTCCGCAATAGCGGACATAAGGCAGGGATCCTGTCTGCCCTCCGAGGCAGGACCCCCTTCCGATTCGAAAACCTGGACCTCTCACTCTACTCGGATAGACTATCGCTGGCGGCCTCCCAGGACACTGATAGTCCAGCGAGGATTAAACTCACATAACATTCAGGATATTAGGGACGCCCTGGCCTTCCTCCAGCTCCTGGCTTACCTCAAGATTTGCTGTCCCCGGCAAGACCAGCCACAATGAACGACAACAGATCCCCTAACCGCACCCACACCTGGGATCCAGATCGAATCGCCACATTCATCCCCCAAAGCTCCATGCCGGAGGCATATGCAGCGATCACGACGTAGAGACACTGGGTCACTTACAGACATTAGACACGCACCCAGCCAGCAACTGGAACATTCAAAGGCCCACCAGGACTGTAGGTAACATATTCCCTCACTGCCTTACAACAGTATACCCAAAGGCAGACAAGCCCCCCTTCGCAGGCATTGGTTAAAGCACCCGGCTGAAAGACAGCAGGAACTCCACAGACCTAACGGTCTCACGGACCAATATCCCGCCAGCACCATATTCTGGGTCGGACTCTGACTCCAACTTTCAAGTTTTTTTAATTTTGTCC